CCAACTCTTTAGCGAGGCTTTGGATTTCCCTGACAAAGCTCTCATAATTTATCTCGGAGACTCCCTGACGGTAGGCTATGCCTTTTCGAAGGTGAGATGCAAGGGCACATTTCATAGCATTAACCTTTGATGCACTAATTGGCGCAAGGTGGTCGGCTTCAGAACAAAGCTGCTCGAAAACAGATCTAAACTTAGCAAAAGTTTGTCGAGGTCCTTGATGAAGGGCATTAATTTTCGTTTGGGCTCTTGTCACCGCATCTTTGTCGGTGAAAAAATCTTCCAGGTGGGATATCAGCCTCTCACTGCTCCTGTCATTTGCTAATTTTGAGTTTTCATCAATGGTGCTACTCGTCGCTGGGCTTCAGCGGGGAGGGATTGAGAAAAGACAGAATAGTAAAAGGATTTGTGATTAATGCCTTCCTCTGCCACTCCTTCAAGGCTGGTTTGAAAGGCAGGGAAATCTACGGGGTCTCCCGAACATTTTGGCCAGTTGATAGTGGGTTTAGTGGATTTTCATTTGTTTCCTGTCATGGTTTTTTGAGTCTGGGGTGCTTGCGAGGTTTCGGCAGGCTGTGGTGCTGGCGGTGTAACAGCGAGCTGGAAGTCCCTCAGACCTGAGACAATATCTTCAAGGCTCATAAATTGGGCCTGAGAAGGATGGAGGTGATGGAAGAGGGCCGGTACCGCGAGACGTCGCAGGTGTGACTGAATGTCACGGTTTCATTACAAAATGCATGAGCAATGTTGTAGGTACAATATTTTAATTATAATTCTCTGAAGAGAGAATTTCTGTAATTAATGACTACCTTTATATACAGACTGAGATACCCCTCCTCGATAAGGTTCTCTCTATGACTTGTCAACTCAGACTCTCCGATAATCGCCTGTAGATCCTTGATACTTCTGTAACCCTCATGAACTCTCAGTAGGTTTCAACAAGGCTCAATGTGAATCATCTAGGTTCCCTGTCATCCAAGATCTTCCCAGGAACCTCCCTTCGTATAATTGCCTGCGCTAGACAGCGTAGGCTACAGGAACCCTTAGGCTTGACAGCCGTCACACTGAATATAATTAGAGAATCAGAATATGTCACGAAATGGAATCGTGATTGATCAATCAAACGAAGTTATCGAATTCTATTCTGATTCTCTAAAATGATAATAACAACAGTACTAATCAAGACGCGGTCGCAAAGGATTTATGATACATGGATATTTTACAATGGGGGACTTAGCGTCTCCTAAGATCAACATGAAATGTGGAACCCCAAAATACTGTGTAGGAAATTCACACCCTTGGGCCTGTAACAACCCAGCGTGAAGGAGTATTCTTCTTTACGCAACATCTTCTGTCTATACTCATACCTATTGTTCACGTACTTTTCTCTTCTCTAAAGAAGAGCGCCGTTATTGTACCCTTCTCACCTACTACTTATTTTACTTTTACCTCTTCCGTGAACCCTATACTTAACGCTGACTTTATACCTCCTACTCTTAGGAATCACCACCATACTCCACACCTGTAACCTACTTGTACCAAACTCGTACCCTACGGAATACTGATAACACGGCTCCTTGGGACTTTGCTTCCTGCGTTGGGTATAAATATCGGCGTGGGCGTGTATTTGGTGGTCGAAGCCAGAGAAAGTCATCAAGAGGTGTGGTTGTTGGAATGAAGATGTACTAGGTCGTACTTGTAGACTTGATGAAGCTTAGTTGAGAATCGGAATCTTTGGGAGTGAAAGATTGACATGGTGGAGTAATTTGAATTTTTGCCTCGTGGGCCAACTTCTTTGATATTGCAAGATTTGACTGAAATTGGCTCTGGGAGAATATTTCACTCCCAGGTTTGTAGAGGACACCGCGTACATGTATTCAGTCTAGCCCTCCTGACACGATCTTGTGTGTATTTAGGAGGTTGGAATGTGTAACATGGCAGTGCTTCAGGCTACTTATTGGAGATATGAGCGGCTGTATGGCGTGGGAACAAGGAGGTTAATGGGGATTTTTCTATGCCTAGATGTTGCCACACTTGTTTATGCTGTGGATTAGGCAATGTGTCGCTTACACTTGTACTTGTAGCACAGAATCTCCATACTTTTAGCTTTAATCCAAAAATGACACTCTTTTAGTCAACCTCTACTTTAGTTCCACAAATATTGCGCCAATTTCATTGAGCAATATTTCCAACAAGAAGACTTGGCTTGAAATTACAAAATATAACCAACGAGCTTGGCTTCATAATAAGACAAGTACAACGTGTGTGTGCTCGAGAGGATAAGAATCCTTAACCTCGCTGTTCGGATTAGGTCCTGGTCAACAATGTCTAGCCTAATTGTGCTATGTTGCAGGCTACTGTTCCAATTCATGGGGTCATCATCAGGGTTGTGAGTAGTTCCGGTTTTGGTGTGGGTTGTTAAATTGATACCTGAGCGTGTTGCATAGTAGTCAGACATGCAACTCGAGTAGCATATGCATGGTAAACTTCAGCCCCAAACTGATGATACTGTTGGAAATAGAGACACGGAGCGTTGTGGACGTACGGGCCCTCCATTTCGTCAAGGTTCCCGACACGATCTCGTGTGTACTTAAGAGGTTGGAGTAGGTAATATGGTAGCGCTTCAGGCTGCCTATTGGACATATGAGCGGCTGTATGGCGTGGGCGCAAGGAGGTTATTGGGGGGTTTCTATGCCTAGATGGCACCACACTTGTTTATGCTGTGTCTTAGGCTACGTGTCGCTTACACTTGTACTTGTAGCGCACATCTCCCACACTTTTAGCCTTAATCCGAACATGACACTCATTTAGTCAACTTCTACTTTCGTTCCATTAATATTGCGCCCATTTCGTTGCGCGATATTTCCAATAGATACGAATCAGGCTTTACATGCTATGTCCTGTATGGCTAGCGTGGTTGGAATATGGGGAGTTTACCTGTAGATAGGTTAAGACGTTGCAGCCCTCTGATAGTTGGGACAAGTCTTCCACAATATTATATCAGAATCAATCCTAGCCTCTCACAAAGCAATCTCATGAATCTATTTCCGTGTCTATGATAACAGACCAATAAACAAAGTCGACGATCAAGTTTAAAGTCGATTACTTGCAAAAGACGCTCACCAAAAATGAGCGAGGAACAAGTTGATGAGTTTGATGAGACCTGTATTGTGGGGCATCATGCTCATGGGAAAAGCTGGATGTTTTGGGGATCATTTTATGGATCACAGAAAGGCCCATTTCTAGTCTGGGAGAAGGATTGGGGATCAATGAGGGCCTCATCCTTTTGTGAAAGGATTTTGCCTCTCTTGAATCAATTTGACTTGGAAAATCCAGAAATTCTACACATGTAGTACGCTTTTATTTTGCTTGCGAGCTATACTGAGGGCTTTGATGTATACTTTTGTAATACAGAGCAATTGTGTTTGAAATACATGTGTATTTTTCGATAATATCTATTGATTTTTTCAAAATTTAATTTTAAATGAGGACCAATTTATCTATCCTTTATAGTTGAAAACTATCCCCATTAATTTTGACTTTCACAGAAGAACATTGGATAGTACCCTTGCTTGCATAGCTAGTGGGTAAACTAGAATCGGGCCTACATGAAGACCAAACCAATCAAATCCATATTTACATGGATCTCACCCTAGTCATTTTGACAAATTCACCTTTTCTATCCATAAGAGACTGTGTATATCTCTTGATAAAAACCTGCATGTGCCTCAAGGCGCCAAATCAGGACAATTGAATAATTTATTTATGATTATTGACAAGAGCTATTGAGTCATACAGAGAATTTTAGTGGCCAATAAAAGAGCGGTGTCAGGAAATGGAGACGAAGGATTTTCTGAAGGTCAGGATGAACCAATGTGGGACCGGCAATAGTATGTTAAATGAAGCAGCTTACTATATGAAAATGAATTGGTGCAGAAAGTGGGAAATTATCCACACATTTGTCATGTTCCTGGCGCTACCAAGACCCTTCTCTAAGAATCTTGGGTTAGACTAAAGAATGCATGGATAAGCCCAACACTTCTAGATCTGCTTTCTTCGCAATTTATTTTGCACAGTAGCCTGGCCAAAAGATAGCAGAGTTAATCTATTATATATATTGGCCGTTAATCTGCCAATTTCGATCGTTTGTAAATGTTTTTTCGTTGAATCATCCAATAATTTTCAGTGCGTTCAAGTCAATCAACCATAATGCTTATTATTAAGACTCTAGTATTCCTTCAAAGTGTCAGCCTTTTTGTGCCGACTATATCTGGCTTCAGAGTGGACCATATAGCGGAGGAAAGCAAAGTATTCAGCTGCTTCGGGGGACTATTCTCAACACCTGTCAGTGGTGTCCCCTACGAACCTCCAGCTCTCACTGTAGAGTCTGCAGAGCCGAGATTGTGTAACAAAGTCCTCACTTCGAAGAGGATTCCCAATCGCTTTCGCGGTCTGTATCGTCTTCATCTCTCAACACATTCCCCTATCACCACTATCATGAAGCTAACCACGATCAGATCAGATGGTAGGGTCGGAGCCCTACTCGTCACCCACCCTTGATCATGGAGGAAAAGCCATCCGATGAGTTTCCGGAGCGTACCCAGCACCCGATACGGAGATGGTGGATTGGATCAAGTCGACCTCGAATGTTACAAAGAAGGGAGATATAGATGAATATGCGCACCTCATGTGGTCCCGGTGTCTAGGCCTCGCCTGGCTGGGGCTGCAGATTTTTTGAGACTTTTTCCCGCGCACGCAGTTTCCATTGCCACCATTTTTATTTTTTTTGGGTAGAAGGTTCCGTGGAAAAGGTGGCTGAATTCCACGGGTAAATACTGAGCTGAAAGGCTATTCATCAAGGGGAATATATCAATGATCTTTCAAGTAACAAAAGAGGCAAGGAGCACTGTACAAGGTGTGGCCTGGGTCAGAGAGGAGCCCAATGTGCTAGATAGTCATAGACTCAAGTAGTACAATAAAACACACACACACACACACTGTTCCTATTCAGCTGCTTCGAAAAGGAAATCAGGGAAGCCGACATCAAAACAGATAGACTGCAAGCAATTGATCTTCTCCAAAGAAACTATCTAACCAAAATTTCGATACAAGATGTTTCAAGTCATTTTCACGGGAATATGCAAACAGAACGGCTAATGTATGATGACCGTAGCCCTCATCAATATTATACTTATCAAATCAGATCACTTTGGTCTGGTAAGTTTCAAACCTAATTTACGGCAAAAAAGTGACTAATTGTTGAGAAAAGAATCTGAGAATAATGATTACAAATATATTCTAATGACCAGCCTCTTATTTGACGATCGTCGTCGGCTTTGTGCCATATTAACCGAAGAATCTTGGATTAACCACTTCCAAACTGGGATGGTGCCGGGATCTGGCGTGAAAACCATCAAATCATCATGCGTAGTGGCTACTTGAGATATTTAACATCATATAGAGCAGGTTCTGCAGGAAGTTTATGAATTTAACAACTACGCAAGTATGGCCTCCGAACCTCAATGTGAGCTTGGGTATTGGTGTGGCTGCGCAGAGCTAGAATAAATACTAAATTGAAAATGATTTCATTCTTCTTGTTGAACGCCCTATAGGTCTATACAGGTGACTGAACAATAATATTTTTGTTGGAGGAACTCCTCTGGTGAAAAGCTCCTCTTACCTACCTGTTTAAAGTCTTTGATTTTCATGTTTGTCCTTCAGATATGATGTGAGATCACTGCCTCTATTTTTGTTTCATAATTTAAGATGCAGTGGCACCCCAAGCCTAGAATTAGGCCCCTGCTGCCTACTTACAGTCTCTGTTACGATTGACCTAAGGATGACACGGGTCTCTAAGAAGAAGTTTTATTTGGACATTAGGCTACAATACATAGGTAGGAGAGAAGACAAAGAGAAAAGAATTGCTGGGAGCTACAAGCTTGAGGTAAGCTCGACTGCGGCTACACCTTAGCCCGGCCTGCATCCCCGTTATACATTATCATATGATCCCGGATTATTCCACCAGTTGTTAGGATTATTGAGAGAATGGAGTCACAGTGGCGAGAATAGATAGAGGGTAAGATAAGGTATGCAGAGAATATGTATAGTAATGCAGCAAGATATATGAAAATGTGTGTGTGCTAAATACAGAGGGTGAGGGGGTTTAACCGAATCACCCAGCTGATTAAGCAGCATTTTCCAACACGAGTCTACCTCCAAGTGCCCTAGCAAGTCCAACCGTAACATCCAACGTAGGCTTAGCGTAACACTAGCCGGGGCCTATTCTCGGAAGTAGGGGCTTAAAAGTGGCAATATCAATATTGTACAACTTCCAAGAATGAGGCGCAAGAGTGGGATACGAGAACAGATGTGCGAATATACAGATATACGGGTAAACGGCTAAATGTTGTGCTGGCTCGGTTGAGTTGTTAGGAGACAGGAGAACAGAGGATGGGCTGCTGGATTATTATTATTTTTTTTTTTGCACGGGGCTGCTGGATTAGGAAAGGGTGGAAAATACAGGCTGGTGCACAGTCGCTGTTCATGTACTCTACAATCTCTTTACCTGCCGAGTTTAGTGAATCAATCTATCCAAAAATAATATCATACTTCACATAATCCATTACATGATATTATCAATCGTCGGGATGCACATCTAGGATCACCTACTTATATCACCATCATCAGTAAGAGTTCACATTTGATACCCACTGACACCCATTTGGCCACAGTGATACGCATTCAGTGTCCATCGTGCCATCACCCAGCGTGAGCGCGCCATCTCCGCGACTCACCATTGCACATGAGCCCGTGTAATTCCACCGATAGACAGCAGAGACATAATTGCTATATACCTCACAGCTCATAACCACAACACTAAACAGGTAAACAGATAGAAAGCTGTGTCATTGGCTGGGATAATAATCATGTATAAAGTAGCTGTTATTAAATTCTTCGATCTACAGTTCACCATAGACTGAAAATAAACTATCTCTGACCATAAGGTTGCTCAAGTGCCTTTGCTTAGACTGTGACATATTTTCAATCTAAAAACTCAATACTCACGACAAGCGACACACGAAAGACGATACGAACGACCTATGAGCGACGAATGATAAACAACGTTATACGAACGAAGTTAGTTCAAAGAAGATATAGAAACCACAGAGGGTTCAGAAAATGTCTACCCAATTCGAAATAGCCATGGCTGAGAATAATTCTCTGAAGGAAGAAAACCTCCACCCACAAAGACAATTGGATATCTCTGCAATTCCAAGCAAGACCCTCGATCAAACCTCGGAGGCTGAAATAATTAAAGATCCAGCAAGGAAGGATGGGAGGTTAAAACCCAGCGAGCTACCTTATTACGACGGCAACAGGATGAAATTGTGACGGCTTGTGAGCCGATTAGTCCTGTAGCCTTCGATGGCTATCGAAGGCAACCTATATTCTCTATCACTCCGAGGATTATCAGCAGACGAAACTGATACGAGATCGTCACTGAGGCTACGTAAAGGATAGTGCCAAGAGTATCGGAAGCGTTACCCGTGTGGCAGAACAAACCTTCAGTCAGTTTCATTGCCACTGTAAGTGTAGGCTAGATTTAGATACCTCTGGATGTGTATAAGTAGTAGAGTAGACTTGCAGGTAGTTTGCTTCTACATATATGAATTATAGCTTTACCTTTCAATCATACAAATGCCCATTCGCGTTCTATATTCGAACCGTGACAGAAATATCCCGCATAGAGAAAAGCTGTGCTGTCTGCACTGTGACATGACTGGAATACGTTCGAATACACTGACCAGCAAGTATTTCTCATGATTTACAACTGTTTGGAGGGAGAAGCTCAGGAGGAAGCCGGCGCATATTTTGAGATCTGAGGAAAAAACGGAGTGGAGAGCCCAGAGTCCTCTATCGAATTCTTGGATTGTGGCAACTGGGATCGTACCCGAATTACCCGGGCGAGAACTGAAATGAGCAAATTAAAGATGGGGGAAAATTGTCACAGCGTAGAATAGGCACAAGTGGAAGTACAGATTGTATGGCAATAATTCAATCTTTGAAGCAAATACTAAGCTGAAGAAGAATAGGATAGAACAGAATCTAATTACAAAAAGCCCTGAGGCTATTCCTATTCGGGCGGGTTTCAACTAAATTGCCGCGCACGTGCTCCTTCCCGCATCAGCCATCAATCTCACATCCTCCCTCCACGTAATTGTATATCATGACAGAGCAGAATGCCGTGCCATGACAAAAATCAGCAGTGGAATTCACTTTTTCCCACCTAATAAAATAAGTTGACCAATGGGAGGTGTAAGGACTAGAAGTAGAATTGTATTCGAATTGTACTGTTTGCTGTGTATAGAAGATCTTAAAATAAAGAAAGAAGATGGAAGAGGAAAAGTCTTCCTTATTTACATTAGAAAGTGGTCTGTGCTGTTACCAGACTATACCAAAATAGAGCAACTAGATAGTCACCTGATTATTATCAGCTGAGATCAGTCACCCAATTTCATGGATTGTTGTGGCATAGCTTAATATGAAATGTCATGTGGATGGCTAAGTTAAAACACAGATAGTAGTTCAACGTACTTCTAAAACCAGCTAGGAAGGCCGATAAGAATAGGCTAGTTTCATTAGGTAATGTGTAGCAGATTGTTTGGCATAGAGGCTGTGTGTTATGTGCTATTTGGTAATTTAATGTATATAAATACTCGGCGTGAAGAAGCATTATTCTTCACGCAACGTCTTCTTCAATTACCTTCACAATACATTGGTTTACCCATCTCTTCTTCGGAAAGACCATTTATCTCTTTCCAGCTCTTCATCAGCAAGACCCACGTGTAGCCTCTATCGCTACTATCTACCTATTTGTCTCTTCCTAGAGAAGACCAGTCATCCCTTCGACCCACTCATCACCTTCATCTACCACCTAGATCTTCGTTAGACCACATACGCACCCTGTGGAACACTGACCTAACCTCGCCCTTTGTCGAAATTAAACTTAGAATATGCAGAACTCTTCGAGTGATCACGGAGAAATAACGAAGTATATACTTCAAAGGGTATCCGTAGGTGTGAATTATGTTTATAGTAAAGGCTTGATCGAAACTCTTGATCTTTACTAGAGGATATGAGACTGTCTATATACATTGATGTCTGGCAATGACATGGGCTAGAGTGTAATGCCTCATTACGGGATACAACAGAACAAACTAAGGATCTGATACCAGTTACGCGTATTCTCGTCGCAGTCTCGAATATCAGACGTAACAAATGATGATGGTGTAACTAGTAGCAGATAGGCGACATCTGACAATCTTGATGGACACTTACTGAAACCACAAGCACAGGGAGTATCTAGGTTGGTTTCGCAACACCCTTGAGACTCAAGCCCAAGCTTTGGCTGCCTCAGGCTCTAGCCTATGACAGGAGGGGTGCTATATGGCCCAACGAAACTAAAATTATTATGCTTTGTGGTGCGCTCAATAAGACTCTCCTAAAAGCCTTGGCCAATAACCATCCTCTCCCACAGAATGATTTTCTTGCCTGAACGAAGATTGTTGGCCAGATATCCCATCAACACAAAGAGTTAGAAGTCCAATTTAACTGGCGTAGGAGTTGGGTTGCACCAGAGAGCTTAGATGTTGTAATGTGTGGTCTATGGGGATTACATTAGGTTAGAGTGGCAGCTGTGTGAAGTAAAATTCAGTGCATGGACACCTCAATCTTGTACATAGGAAAATTCTTCTCCCCATTAGATTATCATAGTCTTCAATACACAACAATCAGACCACAAGGTTATCACGTCCTGCGCATAATGCTAAATAGGAGCTTCAGCTTATTGACTACCATAAGCTCATAATCACATTTTTAAATCACCAAAATGGAAGTCACAGTAGCCCAGGTAGGAGACCGAGTGTAGGAAGATGGAAGCCTCCAAATAGACATCGCGGAATTGCCAGAGAAATTGATGCTGCGGGTGATACTTTAATGGGAGGCATTAACTCTGCCAACGTGGCAAGGGGCGTAAACAGGAAGCTGCTCCGCGCAAAATGGAAGTCACCGGAGCAAATCCAGAGACTCCAAAGAGAGGTCAAATGTTACAGATGCGAGCGTCAGGGCTGTAACACGAGAATTTGTCGGGTTTTGCCTTCACAGAAACCGGGTGCCGTAGGAATATCTGTTATAATTCTAGTCTGCGCAAGGAAGCAAGGGCTTCATAGACAAGACTCAGTGATGAAACAACATGACTTTAGTTATACAAGCTCATATTAATGCATGACTCAAATGTGAGTCGTGCTCATTATCAGGAGCTTAAGGATCAAACAATGTCAATACGCATTACATGAGTCCATCAGACAATCAATGGACACGGCTGTAGGATAGATCGTACATGTATATTATTGTTATGAATTTGTTATATTTAGTCTGGATGT